TCTCGGTATATGTGGTTCTGCCTTTAAAAATCCCATTGAGTCCACAATATGGTTGCTAGATGTCTGTTTTAATCACATTATATATTTTTTGACATCTGCACTAGCAGTTTGTCTGTTTCCAAATGAATTTTATTTAAAATGCAAGTTTTTAACCTATAGAGCATGACTTGGAGGCCTACATAAATGACTTGGAGGCAGGTTAGATGTCTCCTTCCATATTTACCAGACTGTACTTTAAACTCAAGGACGTAATCTCCAGGTGGCCTTGCAACAAACAAACAAACACAAGAAGGAGGTGGCCACAGAAATGTTGACCATTTTGATTATGATTCAGTCTGCAGTAGATTGTCCCCACTTAAGTTAATCCTAGAATAGGTACCAATAAATATCTTTGATGAGGGCAGGCTAGAAACTGAGTGCCATGCAAAAAAAAAAAAAAAAGTAGAGACTTGGGAAATTTTTTGGGAATTTTCATGTTATATATGTTGACGGCAGCAAGACTACTTTATGCACAAAAATGGAAGGACATTTCGATCCCCACAATGAATGAATGGCTGCAAAAGTTGATGGAATAGGCAGAGATTGCTAAATTGACTGCTTTGATCAAATAAAAAAACACATAAGTACTTTTATTTCTATTTGGAAACCCGCTTGTGGACTTTGTGCTTGAGGTGGAAAAAACCAAAACTTTGATTTTGGGCTTTATTGATTAGATCAAGCACGTCAAACTCGCGATTTCATGTGACGTCACGCAACGTATCACGACTTTTTCCCCATTGCCAGGTTTCGGCGTGAATTAGATGGATCTCTTGTTATAGAAATGGCTAGTTTATACTATTATGTAAAAGTAAAAAGTTGAGGTTTGATGTAACTGTTTTATTCTACTGAACCAGAGGGAGCTGGAAGTCAACACCTTTTTTTTCCCCTACACTTCTCCTTTCCCCTTTCCCTCTCTTATTTTTCCTATTATTTGCTTTTGTATTTTTGTATTTTATATTATATTACTAATAAAAACTGTAAACTGAAAAAAAGTAGAAATCATTTTAGTAGGATTGTGAAAAATTGTTCAAAGGCAAAGGGACTGAATTGCTGCTTTGAATCAAACCTTTAGATCAAACAGCTGAATCAGTTGGATGCATTACATCAAATCAGGTGGCTTGGAACCCATTAGAAGATTTAATGGACTTTTGCACATGTATACACATATTTTTCTTACCATTAATTCAAATCAAATACTATAGACATGGCTCTTCAAATTGAATCAACCCTTTGAATCAATTCACTAATTAAAATCAGATCTTCGATGATTTGTACATGCTCATTTTCAGTATTTTCATAGCTTTAAAGTTATTTTGCTGCAGGTTTTATATTTGAATTTATCATACAGTATTTCTAATTTGCCTTGCTTTCCTCTGAGAAGCACTAATATTTCATCATTGCATGTTATATGTACTATATGTAACCACAAGAAAAGTTCAATATGGCAAATTTAAATATATTCTTCGGAATGAATATGCAGCAATTAAAGGTCAGAAAATATAAGTTATTTAAAACACCATTCTCTTTAACTGTAAGGCTGCTATTTTCAGAGACTACGGCTAATAGTAATAGAGAAAGAATACTGCTTGTTGCAGTAATGACTATTTATATGCAAAGAGAATCACAGCATGGCTGGCTGGAGAATTCTGGGAGCTGAAGTCCACATAGTTGCCAAGATTGAGAAACACTGCTATACAGATTCAAGCAAACTATAGCACATATTCAGCCACCATATGGGAAAACATACACTTGTGTTGACTCAGTCATTCATAAAGAATGCATCAACCTGTGCAGTGAACTTCTTCAAAATGCCAGATGGATTTGAAAGCTTCTCCACTTGGTTGGGCAAAAATCTGAATGTTATATTTGTAAGATTAAAAATGAAGAAAATGCAGTCTTATCCAACCAACCATTTCCACTCATGGTTTTGTATCATATTCATCTCAGCTAACCAGCAGTTACTTTTCCTTGATAATAGATCTGATGGTGATAATGTAGTTCAATCAAATCTTTCTTTATGAGGACTGTCTTGTAACTCCATGATCCAAAGAAGCTGTTCCCCTTGCCCACACTACGTGTGTATTTCATTTGGACAGTATTTGATTAGTCCTAGCAGGTTTTTATATTACACAAAGAATATTTGTAGGAATCTTGCATTAAATGGCTCCACTGTCAGAGATATATTCAGCATGGACATTTTTAGGAAGTACTGTAAAAGACATGGAAGTTAGATGCAGTTCTAAGTGTTATGCCTAGAAGTATATTCTTAATTAAGAAATATATTTTTGCTAATGCACTGAGGAAATATTAGTGCTTTGAAAAATATGCATACATTAATACTAACAAAGCATTTTGTTTGTTTAGTTAATGCAGAGAAGGAAGCCTCGGACCCTTCAAATATGGTTCCATTAACTCTTCTACCAATGGCTTGGATGAGAGGTGTGGGGAGCTGAAACTCATTAGTACCTCTTGACTGCAGCATAGGGAAGAGTGGCAGCTAGCTTAGGAATGATTGGAATCAATATTATATTTTAAGCCCAAAGAATGTGCTAAAAATTAAAAATGACCGTGTCATTGGATGTTCTTGCTTTGACAACAGATGGAAATGTAGCCATCTTTTCTCTATCACTTTTAGAGTTTGTTGATGCTGGGAGGGGGAATGTGGATGAGAGTCTAGCTAGTTATAACAATAATAACTCAGCTGTGGGAATCTAAGATTATTGCGCCCAGAGTTGATAAAGATTTGGTGGGCTGGAAAGCTGGAGGAAAAAGCCTGTGCTTCAAGTTAATTGGGGAATGTGATTTATGACTGTTAATTGGAGAAAGGAATTGTGCTTTACTACTTTGTGCTAAGGGGAGGAGAATTCTGTTTTTGGCTTTAACTATGTAGTGCCGATACTTTGTTTCTCAAATAAAAGATTCTTTAAGGTAAACAATGCCTCTAGGTTCTTTTGAAGAGTTTCATCTGTCAGAACCATGACAGACTGCTGCAAAAACAAAAACTTAATATGGAAAGTAATTGAGGAAAATTTTTTAAAAGTGTAAAGACTGTACCAAGTCCAAGAAAAGAAACCTGACTGATGAGGAAAATGTGTTAAACCTTAATATTTTGTAATATTGCAAGGAAGCCTATGCTGCTGTTTACAGTCAAACATATAATTTATTTCATTTTTCATACTGCCCTTTATTTTCTTATCAAAATGAGGAATATCCCTACCTACAAATTGTATTAAGTGACTTGGAGATCATTTCTCAAAATGAAGGCATAGTTATATTTTCCTAATATTTTGAAAAAGAGTTCATATACATGCTTAAAACGTATTTCAGATTTTCGAGTGGCGATCCTGGCATTTAGCTGGGTCATTAAGAAACTGAACATAAGGGATTCAAGTAGGAAATGGGTGTATCTCTTTAGTTTTAGAATTCTAAGCCAGAATTCCTGAACCTGTGATAATATGCTTAAAAACTATAAAACTCTTGTGCAAATATTACAATGGAAAATGTTGTATCTATCGCATGTAGTAAGATTTAATACCAGAATAACTTTAAGAACATTAACTTTTCAAGTCTACCACCATAGCTACTGTATTTCAAAATTGTGACCATGAAAGACATCTTACTTGCAACATGAAAGAGAATATTTAGCAAACTTTTGCTTTGTCACTATTCAGTTTCATAGTAAATCACTGTGAATGAGGCTCGCTTAAAAGACGATTAAAATTTTCAAGAGACTCTGTGATTTTTTTTTAAAAAAGTATAAGATGCTGAATAATTCTCTATAACATAGGATTTTTTCATTAAAATTTCTTCAGCCATGGCTATTTCCTCAGTAAAAAAGTAGAAATTTTCTTTTTTGTACAATGAGAAGAATAGTCAGAAACTATTTGTAAGAAATATAGCCAGTAAAGAAAATATTAAACATTATTAAACACAATCCCCATCAAATCAAGACACTTCCCTACTATAAATGTTTTAAGGAAATAATAATACCCAGATAAAACCATTCTTGCTTCTTTCTAGGTTAAATATAGAAAATGTTATTGCTAAATCTATCTATCCAGACAGTGTGTGTGTTTTATTGTCCACATTCATGGAAAAGAGATTGCAAGATCAGGAGAGAAGAATGGGTGGGGTGGGAGGGTTTAGTTCAAAAATAGAGAAAAAAGAAATCAAACTAGGCAAATAGACTGAAAGGCCTTCAGACTCCAACAACTGAAATCATATCTTTCAAGAATAAGTTTAAAAATAGAGATTATTGTATTACCGTATTACTGGAGATCCTTGAGAGCTAAAAATGGTTCCCTAATTATATGATGGCATTCCACTTTGAGGCATTTGTTATTATACTTTTAACTCAATTACATTTACACATAAAATTGCAATGGGCATCAAGTGATATGTTGTAGCAGCCGCCATTATTATTTGTGAGATCATGAAATGCTATGAGATAGCTCTGGAACAGACCATATCAAAGCAGAAGCTGTACACTAATAATACCAACACATTGCATGGAAACTTTTCTGCACAAAATGTATGTTAGATGCACTCAGAGGCTGTTGAGAAGACAATACAATGGGGACCAGTGAAAGAATATAGCTATGTCATGAGTTCAATTGTTTCTCTAGAATAAATACCTTTGAATGACTTCTCTGTAATGATTAAGGCTACCCATTTTTTTCTAAATCAAAACAAAATGCATCCTTTATTTGCACAAAGCAGTAGTCCACCCTATCTCCATTTGGTTTAAATTACTCTCATGTTGTGTCTCAATTGTAACTCGGTGGGTGATGAGCCTATACATAGAGTCCTGCTCTAATTTAAACAATGTCATGCTCTCCAGTTCATTAGTGGTGACATTGTTAAGCATTTCACTGATCATCATTGTAAAGTAATTTCATGATGATACTGTAGAAGCGTGAGGAGTTGGTGATTTCTTCAATTATTGACTGAAAATAGTTTACCTTTTGAGCCTGAGGAAGCTGGGGGTGGAGGGAACAAGAACAAAATAGAAGAAGCCATCATTATATAATGATTATAATATAGTTAAGCCACTTTAGCTGCTTAATTAAAAGAAAACACCAAGGTAATAATGAGAAAAGGAGCTAACATGAGAAATATTTCTACATTAGTTCAATGCATGATAGTGGGATTACAGGAAGTCAAGGTGACCTTTCTCTGTGAAATACCAGTCATGCTGTTTGTGAAAATGCTTTCATGCTATAAGGAAGAACTTTCCCTAAAGAATGGGGAAATGTACGTTCAGACAAACAATCCAGTTCAGATCCCCTGAAGCCACTCTCTTATAAAATCCTTAGGGAAATTCATTCTGATCAATGTAACTTTTAATTTGCTCAGGTATAATGGTCTGTGAGTATGTGCTGAATATGTGTGACACAAGAATGGTTTTGTCAGTGGAAGCAGTGGACACTTGGCATCCTATTATATCTGAATTTTCTGTTGAAACCACTGAATCCCTTTGAAATGTTTAACTTTAGCTAGATCATTTTGTTAAAATATATCCATAACTGAAAAATGGATTCCACCAGGCATTTTCACTGTACCAAGAACTCTAAAAATAATAATCTAAAAATGGAACATTAAGAGTACATACTTACTATTACCTAAAAAAAGGTCATATTACATTTCATAATACCTATGAAAAAATGGCATTTCTCAATCTTCAACAGAGTTGACTACATAAAGCAATAATCTACTATTCCCTGCTCCCAGCTTCTGTTTAGAACTCAGTTTCCAACCATGAAATAGCTACTATATCATGGATAGAATAAGAAATGTACAATATTGTAATTTCATTGTGTTCAATTACCAGTCACTAGAAATATACATTTACCTATAAAAAAAAGAAAAGAAACCACTGAACTTCTACACTGCATTGTGATTATGATTTTTTGAAAAATTCTCTCCATTGCAATTTGGTATAGAGTAAAAGCAGCAGTAGTAGTAACAATAGTAGTGAATGTATTGTAACCTCATTTTAAAACAATAGTAAAATATGTGATACATTGTGTGAAGCATAAAGGAACCATTCTCTCTTTTAAAACTGCCGATCCTCAGATATTTGGACTAACCTCTTTTTTCTAAGCTTTCAAAGAGCTGTGAAAGTCATTCAAGGGTGAGTAAAGACCATCCTATCCCCGAGATATGGCACATCGGATTGAGTGTCATTAGCCATCATATAACTAGTTTTAATTGCTAAGTTTGTTGTAAGCTATTTAATATATCAGGGTTCAGAGTAATATATAAAGCAAAGTAAATAAAATAAAATTAAAATTTGGAGGTCTATCTAAAGTTACAACATGGATCTGACTAAAAGCCATACAAGGCTAAGTTTACAACTTCACCTTGGCATGAGGCCTAGAAAGTCTGACAGTCTAAAATGTCTTTGTAATTAAAAACAAAACAACAACAACAAAGTAAGAATACCCATTTGAAAACTAGTATAAGGGAATACATTTGCCCTTCCCCCCCAAAAGTGTACACATCCTGCTTCAGAGTCCATAAAGTGGTCAATCATCTGCCTATGTTGGACTACATGTACAAAAATGCTGCTCCTTGGATATTTTGTGGAAATATGATAATATAGTTTGGAATCTAAACTGGGGGATACCTTCCTTAATCCTGGCCTAAAAAGCCATAATAGAAAATAATCAGTTTTCTTAATGGAAGATACCAAGGGAAAAACTTTTGAATGCTGACCAGTTTTAAAGCTCAGCTAGTAGCCTGCTGTAAGAATCGGTGAGAGATCTTTTCTATTTCACAGTATTTAAGTCCCTCTGCACAATATGGGGCAGCACATTTGCTTCATGATTTTCTTTCCTTTCCAATGATACTAGTAAACAAGATTTAAGCCATCAATTTCTTTAAAATATTTTAGTAATGTTAGATGGGTCCTGACAAAGACTGAGGGCAATTTGGTCCCCATTTAGATGTACAGCAGGAAAGACCTAAGATTTTCTTTGAAAAGATATTCTGGAATATTCAACTTCCAAATCTGAACACAAAGTCTCCTTGAAAAAAGCAATTGCGACTTTTGTACACATTTTAGCTGTGATTCATATCCAGTGCTTAATTTTTCATTTGAGAACATGAATTTCACTGCCATTATTTGCTCCTAGAACTCACAACATAGACATTCTGGAGGTTCTGTAAATTGTAACAAGAATTTAGCCTTTAAATTGGATGCAAAAAATAAAGCCTGTAAAGATTTTGTCAGCCCTTGGAGGTAATCTAGGTCAGGAAACGTTGACTGTGGGGCTGGGATGACAAAAGTTAGCATTTCTCATCCGTGGCCACTTGAAGATGCATGGACTTCAATGCCATGAACACTGGGCATTGAAGTCCATGCATCTTCAAGTGGTGAAGGTTGGGAAATAATGATGTAAGCTGTGATAACAGAACATTTAAAACCTGTTTTTCCCCCTTTTTCCTTTTTATACCTCAAATAGTTTAGGTGGAACCAGTTTGAGCTTCTTTTTCATGTTTTCTTCATTTCCATCTATCTATCTATCTATCTATCTATCTATCTATCTATCTATCTATCTATCTATCTATCTATCTATCTATCCATCCATCCATCCATCCATCCATCTATCTATCTTTGATATTTCTTAACTGCCTATCTTTCTCAAAAGGGGCTTTGAGTAGTGTACAATATAACCTGTTACTGTATAGCTTCTTCAAGTTCATCTCTATGACTCTCTATAGCTTTCAATATCACCAGAGATTCATCAGGACCATCTCTGTATTTATTGTCTTCCTCTTTACTATCACTACCTACTAGTATTACTAATACTTTGTCTCTATCCAAAGGTCACTCACCAGATGAAAAAAGGGATATGCACATTTCTCTATAGGCCCTTCTTAGAAATGAAATATATTTTATTGAACTGAATGGGCTTTTATAAATTTTGCTTTAAAATTAAGGGTTATTTACAACATAGTAATTACAATAAATAAAACACATGTAGCAATAGAAAAGAGATAGCACTTAGACTTATTTACCACTCCATAGGGCTTTATAGCAGTGGCCCCCAACCTTTTGGGCACCAGGGACCCAAAAGGAAGTGGAGAGAGGTTTTTCTGTGGACCAGAGGGGGTGTGTGGTTTCCTGTGCTGCCTGCATCCTGTGGATGGGGCTTCACTTGTTCACCCGCCTGATTGCTGATATGTCATGGCCCAGTGCTGGTCCATGGACCGGGGTTGGGGACCCCTGCTTTATAGCACTCTCTGAGCGGTTTACAATGTCAACATATTGTTCCCAACAATCTGGGTCCTCATTTTATCGACCTTGGAAGGATGGAACTAAATCAACCTTGAGCCCTATCAGGATCAAACTTTAGGCTGTGGGCAGAGTTATCCTGCAATACTGCATTCCAACCACTGCGCCACAAGGGCTCAAATATTCACTATTTAGTCTTGAAATACTATTACAGGAAATAACTGTCATATCAAATGTCATCATAATTAATATATGTACAATTGGTGATATCACACAAATGTTTTTATATCCTGTTATAGTGCTTATTTACCACTAACTATTTACCACTTATTTCATTAACTATCCCTAGGATATAAGTAGCTGCAAATTAAATAATCAAATCTATAAATGATCCATTTCTTCCTTCCTTTCTATGTAATGAAAATTACTTTTCATATTTTTACAGAGCCAAAAGTATTTTAAGTCATCTACTTCTCTTGTCTGCATCATTTTTGACTCAGATTTTATTATCTTACTTAAAGGATATTCTGCAGTTCACATTAACATAATGCCACTCAGGTCATTTCTCCATCTGTTATAATCATTGTTTTTAAATACTTTCTTTGATCATTACCATTATTAAACTACATAAATATTCACTAAAAGTGATTTATAGGGCTGAAGTTAAAAAGTATCTTGGAAGTTACATAGATTTCAATGAGATACATTGAGAACAGTATTTGGGATAATCCCTCACCCTCTCCCAAATAATTGCAAGATAAACACTTAAGGAAAACTGAATAGCTCGGATATTTTAAGTTCTGGAAAATTAAAATGAACTCAGAGACTTTATCATAGAAAATTCTTTTTCATGACTGGATATTTCATAATGACTGTACCTATACAAGGTTCCGGTCCTATACTTTAGCAACCTTAATCAGTAGTTCATTTATTTCTGAAATAAAATTTAAAGGCTTGCCGTTAAAGAAAAACAGTTCGTCAAATTTACTTTTGATAATTTATAGAACCATATTTAGAAATAATTGTATTTTATCAAAAAGGAAAATGCCGAAGACCAACTTCAAAGTTTTGTCTCTTCTGTTTTAATTTTTGAATCAGATTTGGATACGAGTATCTTAGGCTTTTAGGCATATGCTTCTGATGGCTGCCTAAAGCAGGTCTGAAGACCTTACACTGAGGAAATGTATGGAAGATTGACTGGGAGACCAATTAGGCTTTAATAGAAATTACACTTAAATATAACATAAATGATAGGAATTTGCATGAAAAAGGCAACACATTAGGCAGGCTTATAAAATTGGCTTTTTCCCCCCTAGCCTTTAAAAAGAATACAGAAGATACACATGAGTATTCTAATACTTTGTTATACTTTTCCCTTTATAGAGTGATCATTTCTATAGTTATACAACATTGTAAAATGACAGAAGCATTTTTACTGTAATAAATACCTTACTTCAAACCTTCTTTCTTTTCAAACTATTTATTATTTTTAAACTATTGGAAGTCCTTAGAAGATAAAAAGGGAATAATCATGTTACAGATATATATATAATGTGTTTGCTTATACACCATTCTCATGAAGCTCAGCCATATTCATGAATTCTCAGAAGTAGGACCTATCAATCATGCTCTATTAGGAAATCAATCAATTCTAATAAGTATGCATTGGATTACAGCCAAAAACCAGAAAGCTGTCCATTTATTTTCAACGCTAAGTTGACTTTTCTTCAACTTACAACT